GATGGGTGGATGGGTGGAGGGATGGATGATAGGTAGGTGGATGGATGGATGGTTAGGTGGATGGGTAGAGGGATGAAGGGATGGATAAACAGACAGAGAGATGGACAGATGATAGGTAGGTGGATGGATGGATGGATGGGTGGGTGGAGGAATGGATGGATGGGTGGATGGATGGATGGATGGGTAGGTGGAAGGATGGGTGGATAGGTGGGAAGATGGGTGGATGGGTGGATGGGTGGAGGGATGGAGGGATGGATAAACAGAGATAGACAGATGATAGGTAGGTGGATGGATGGATGGATGGATGGATGGGTGGATAGGTGGGAAGATGGGTGGATGGGTGGAGGGATGGATGGGAAGATGGATAGATGACAGGTAGGTGGATGGATGGATGGTTGGGTGGATGGGTGGAGGGATGGATGAACAGACAGACAGATGGCTGCTGGCTGCACGCATGGATGGATGGTTGGAGAAATGGATGGATGGATGGATCGAAGGATGGCTGGAGGGATGCACAGACGAGCAGACAGACAGAGAGATGGCTGGCTGGCTGCATGCATGGATGGATGGATAGATGAATAGACAGAAAGATAGAAAGGTAGGTAGGTAGATGAGAGAAAGATAGATACTGAGATAGACAGATACATGATGGATAATCGATGGATGGAGGGATGGATGGATAATAGATGGATAGGTAGAAATGGGTGGGTGAATGAATGGATGGACAGAGATGGATAGTTGGCTGCATGCGTAGATGGATGGATGGATAGATAACTATACACGTGGATGGATGGACAGACAGATAGGGATGGATGGCTGCATGGATGCATAGACAGACATGCATAGAGAAACGTGGGTGTGATATGTGAGGTCTGGCGACATTGCCAGAGCTATCGACGGGAAGGAAAGATGTCTGGATCCTCTAAGCAGAAGCCCTCCGGTGGAGAGCACGTTAGAATGCCCAAGGTCAGAGATCCACTCAGCTTTGCTCTGGGATTTGTGCCAGCAGAGTTCATCAAACTCCAGGGAACGTTCTCAAAGCTAAGTCCACAAGAGATCGCTTTACAGTTGAATGTACTGATTTACTAAGTTCAGAGGCAGGTGGGTCTGCCAGAATCGTTGGTTTCACCATTCATTTAAGCCACTTCTTAGGAAGCCCACTGAGGAGATCACATTAATCAATCAGATTGCCGCTTCACGAGCAAAAGTTTGGAACAAAGGGAATGTTCCCATGAAGCTAGCTGAGCCTAACGAGTGCCCCTTTAATTAATTACTGTGGGCAGCCAGTACTTCCTGAGAACTTCCCCCCATCGCCATGGGCTGCTCTGTGTGTTGGAGTTGATGAGCAGGGTTGCCTTTCATCCTCAGACAATGGGACTCCTATCCCATTTTGCAGATGGAGAATTGTCATGTAGACGAGTCCCTCAAGACGGTAGCCTCTGTCCGTGCCCGTTCCGGGCGCTCTCTGTGTGGGGCTCACATTGGCTCTGAAGACAGCGCTGCCCAGCCATGGAAGTGGGCTGTCAAACTGCTGGCTGTCTCCACTCCACACCCAGCGCCACCCCGGGACTCATCAGTACAGCCCGGGCAGTGTGCACGCGGTGGGGTCGTTCCCAGGGATACACACACCCTGCTAGGATGCAAGCCGAGCTCAGCGTAGTTCGAGCGTTAACTGAGAAAACGTGTCGCAGCGTTACTGGGCCAGGCGGAAGTGAAGCCAGGGTTTCCGGCGAGCAGCCGTGGTGTGCGCGGGGTGCGCCCGGGAAGTCCTGCCACGGGTGCCACTCGGGCCAGAACCAGGACCGAGTTCTCCTGGTTGGGGACCGTGGGCTCAATTCCCCTTCCTCGTGACCCCATGTGACGGAGCGGAACTGCCCAGCGCGTCCCAGGTGGCCATCTTTACAGGCGCAGACGGCCCAGTCGTTCTCCCACGGACCCCAGCCGAGCGCTTAACCGCTGCACCACCAGGGCTTTTCAACTCATTTATGGAGCTGTGTGGAAATCACATTAAGACTTGACTGAAAAAATGCACCAAATTATAGGTGGTGGTTGGTGTTACGTGCGGTGGAGTCGGACCGACTCATAGCGACCCCTCCTTGGGTTTCCGAGGCGGTATCACTGCGGAAGTAGATGCCCAACGTTCCTTCCGAGGAGTGGCTGGTGGGTTTGAACTGCCAGCCTTCTGGTTAGCAGTCAAGTGACTTAGGCACCACACCACCATATATATATATATATATATATATATATATATATATATATATAAATACATGATATTTTATATGCACATGATAGTTTGTGTATACAAGAGATTATGTACACATATTTATATATACACACAAGATACAATAGATACAAATACATCCTATATAGGATGTTTTATCTATGCATATTTTTACATATTTACAAGATATTTTTATATGTATATTCATGATCTTTTATGTATATATGAAATATTTTATGTAAACAGTATATTTTATTTATATTCAAGATATTTTATGCACACATGATAATTGGTACATATACAAGGTGGTGGTGGTGGTGGTTGTTATGTGCCGTCAAGTTGGCCCCAACTCATAGCGACCCCTCCTTGGGTTTCTGAGGCGGTATCACTATGGAAGTAGATTGCCCAACCTTCCTTCCGAGGAGTGGCTGGTGGGTTTGAACCGCCAGCCTTCTGGTTAGCAGTCAAGTGCCTTAGGCACTATGCTACCAGAGCTCCTCATATACAAGATAGTGCCTATCGTATACACATGCTCTCGTACGTGCACAGGACTTATAGATACAAATATATATTTTATATACACATGACATGTCACATACACATGTTTTATGTACTCACGTGACATTTTATACGCACATACAAGATAGGTAACATATACGATGTTTTGTATACATGCGATGTTTTGTACACGCACACTGTACACAGGTGTGTGTATTTTGTTTGCACTCATGGATATTTATTTTCGCCTGTGGGTTAGGACCCAGTGTTCTTGTCAGGTACCATGTTGCTCACGTTGTCCTGGTTTCAGGAGCCGTTGAGGGGCCCCAGGGTCCTTTGCACATGTCTTTCTCGACCCCTGCCTTTTCTTTTCGTTCTTAAAGACATTCCTTACTTCCTGGCCCTACCAGAGGCTCATGATATATTTTCCTTCCCCCCAGTGATTTTTTAAAACGTCATTTTCTTTTTGGTGAAAGGGTGTCTTACGTTTCTGAGGGAAACACAGGGGCACCCCCAAACACCGCGTGATCCGGGAGCTGGCGACGGCTCCAGCTTTCCCCAGAGACGCGGCTCCGTTCCTCTCGGCACCATCCGCCCATCGCGCACGTGCTTCTTACGGTTTCCGGGACCGGTGACGAGTGCGGAAGCGCCACGGACCCGCGGTGCCCAGGTCCGGGAACGCGCGGCGCATTACGTGAGAACGAAATAAAAATAGTACCTTCTCTTCCGGTTTCTGAGCACACAATTTCAGTCACCTACTAAGTTGTAAGATGTAAGTATTTATTAAGTGGTTGGAGCTAATTACTTAATAAACAGAACTCTTAGATGTGTCTAATGGGCTAAGAGCACCATGAAGAAATTAGCTGAATTACTCACTCTGCTGTTCATGGAAAAAGCTTGGGAACCTCTGTCTTAAGTAGTGATTATTTTAGATGCTCAGGACCTTATCTCCCCTTTACAAATATCTGGCTTTCACGGTTTCTCAGATAAACATCTGGAGCCTCGACAGAGTCACGGTCTCCACACGTTGTCCCGGTTTACTCCTCCCCTGAGGATTCCCACCTTCCTGCTTCTGAGCCCATGCCTTTTTGTTTCTCCCCAAAGTTTCCACATTGTTATTTCTTGTTTTCTTTTGTTTATGCATGTATGTGTTGTGCAGGTACAGGCTGTGCACATATGTGTGCACACTTTTGTATGTGGATCAGAAACCTACTGCCGTGGAGTCCATTCTGACCCACAGTGCCCCTAGAGGACAGAGGGAACTGCCCACAGGGTTTCCCAGGGTGTCAATCTTCACAGAAGCAAAGCCCAAACCACACCCACTGCCGTGGAGTCCTTTCTGACCCACAGCGCCCCTAGAGGACAGGGTGGAACTGCACTATGGGGTTTCCTAGGCTGTCAATCTTCACAGAAGCAAAGCCTAAACTGGAGTCGATTCTGACTCACTGCCCCAGAGAGTTTTCTAGGCTGTCAATCTTAACAGAAGCAGACTGCCTCATCTTTCTCCTGCGAAGTTGCTGGTGGGCTCAAACCGATGACCTTCCTGTTAGCAGCCAGGCACTTAACTATCAGGCCACAAGGGCTCCTTATCTTGGTGTATTTGTTGTTGGGTGCCTTTTTGTAGATTTCAACTTTTAGTGACCCCACGAGGCAGAAGAACTCCCCACGGGGTTTCCGAGGCTGTAATCTTTATGGACACAGATCAGGAAGTCTTTCTCCCACAGAGCAGCTGGCAGGTTTGAACCTCTGACCTTGCAGTTAGCCACCAGTCACCTAACCACTGCCTCACCAGGGCTTCTCATTTCAGCGTCTGGGAGCTGAGGAGCCTTGGCGTTCTGGACTCGGTGTGCATGGAGGGCGTGACAGCTTCAGGGGCAGGCGCTATGGTACAACGTGAAGTCCCACGTAACCGCATGCCTGCCCCCTGGCCTCGCTTACTTACTGGTGTGAAGTAGATTTGCCGTCTTGTTTGAAACCTAGCTTGACTTTGAATGTAGTTTCACCTTTTTTTTGTTTCCCTCTTGACTTGTAAAATACCCGATTCACAGCCATATTGTCCAAAATAACATTCTCTTTCAAATTGGTTGATCCTGGGTAGTTCAGTATCTTTGCAACAAGAAAATTTTCAGATATTGCTATTATCTTTGATTAAAGCCTATTTTATAATCCATCTAAGAAGGATAGATTATTTGAAATTGAATTATTTCAAACCAAGTAAGTTCATCGTAGATGTATTTTAACCCATGACTTTAAAGAGACCCTGTCTTGCACTCAATTGTAGGAGGATATCGCTGGCCACTCCCCGACAGCTGTACAAATCCTCCAACATGACTCAGCGCTGGCAGAGAAGGGAGATTTCAAACTTCGAGTATTTGATGTTCCTCAACACCATTGCAGGTAAGCCCTCTTCACTCTTTAACCTCGTGTCCTGTTTATGTTGGTCATGATTTCTGTAACATGACTTGATGGAATCCCTCTTTCTCTGTGGAGCTCAAATCCAGCATTGGAACCGTTGGTGCCCGCGTGTCCCAGGCAGGAGGCACATTGTTGAAGGGGCATTCCTCGCGCTCTGCCGTTCCCGCCACTGACTGCTTTGGCTGACGGTTTACGAGAGGCCACAAACCGTCAGCAGTGAGTGTCTGGAAATAATCACGGAAAATGTAATCCCACCGTTTTTCATTCCAAGCGGTTGCAGCCGGACAGGAGATGACAACAGGCTGCCTAGTGTAGGTGGCACCTGCGTTATGGCATGAGAGGGGTACAGCTTCTTTTTTCTCCCTTAAAGTCGTCAAATGGAAGTATAAAATCAGATTACGTTTTCTAAGTGATGAGGAACTGCCATCAACCTCGGCAGCACCTTAAATAGTTGGTCAAGAAAACTCAATTTGGCAACAGGAAGGGTAAAAAGTAATTAGAAATGTTGAAATCTTTTTGCATTTTAATAATTTAATCCATATTGTACCATGAGCTCCTTTGCCAATAGGGTGCTAGAGGTGCAATCAAAAACAACACTCTCTCCTCACTCATCAACATGGTTTGGTTCCAAAGATCAGGTCACTAGGGAAAACTCAGCATTATGTGAAGATGGAGGGTGACTGCATTGTTAACGCGACTGCCTGATCACGCCATTGCATAACTGCCCCATCACTGACATTCACGGCCCAGGCACGCTGACAAACGACCTTGACTGTTCCTCTCACCTGGCACCCTGGCGTTACTTACCTCCAGATGTATGTCATTAATGCACAAAATATTCAGTCAGTAGATTTATTATTGTTGTAAATGTGAAATGTCAGATAACGGGATAGTGAAGTGAGGAGTAGGTGTGTTTTATTTCCTATATTTAATTTAATATGTTGTTGTTGTTGTTGTTATGTGCCATCGAGTCAGCCCCAACTCATAGCGACCCCTCCTTGGGATTCCAAGGCAGTATCTCTACGGAAGTGGATTGCCCAACCTTCCTTCAGAGGAGTTAAGTTAGCACTTCTGGTTAGCAGTCAAGTCCTTGGGTTTCTGAGGCGGTATCACTACGGAAGTAGATTGCCCAACCTTCCTTCCGAGGAGTGACTGGTGGGGCCTGCTTGATGGCACCTAACAACAGCAACAAATGGTTCTGTTGTGTAAGTTGGAGTACCACTGTTCTAGCCCTCTGTAATCCAAGTATGAGATTAAGATTTGCTTATAAAAACGTTGAGATCATGTAAGCAGGTAGACAATAAAGTGCCCCTGCACCTCTGTGCACTTGAAGTAAGTACAAACATGAAGAGAGACTGAATCATGGACAGATAGAAACAATTTACTTGTAAGGGAATCTGCCCTAAGGAGTTCACTGTGTATGGTGAAGACAGACATGAAAGCAAATAATTTCTGTACAGAGTGTCTAGATGCTTGAAGGGAGGTGTCACCAACTCCACCTGCAAATGTCAGTGCCTAAGGCACTTGACTGCTAACCAGAGGGCTGGCTGTTCAAACCCACCAGCCACTCCTCAGAAGGAAGGTTGGGCAATCTACTTCCATAGTGATACCGCCTGGGAAACCCAGGGAGGGGTCGCTATGAGTCAAGTCAAGTCAATGGCAGTGACTTTGGTTTGGGCTTTGCTTCCAGTGGGTGTGGTTTGGGCTTTGCTCCCATAAAGACTGACAGCCTTGGAGACCCTGTGGGCAGTTCCACTCTGTCCTCTAGGGGCGCTGTGGGTCAGAATGGACTCC